ATATATATTGAAGTGTTTCTGCAGAGGATGCTTTTAACGGGATTATTTAGATCAGTTTGCACCTTAAGGTGAATCAAGTGTTTCTGACCTTTCTCTTCAGTTTAGCAGGAATTTACAAAACATCTGCACATGTCACATTAGACATAATCAACATAAATTCTTATATATTTGAACAAAAGGCACATGAAACACAGTCTGACATAATCACACAATACATATTAAACAAAACTTCTTCTTTTTTACCCTGAAGCCTCAGTGTGTCTCTGTATTTTGGGCTTTGATTAATAATTGATGTGTCCAGACTGACTCAGACCACCATGCTCTGGCTGGATCCAGCAGGATACAAACTGTGGTTGATTGCCTGGGAGTATGCTGCATTTATTTCTACTTTCTCAGCTAAAAATAAATAAATAAATGGAATGAGTTATTTGTTGATACTGATTATGTGACTTTTAAATACTAGGTTTTGATACTGTGCATTACAGCACTAATTAATAGCTCATCAAACTGGAAGAAAATATTGCCATTGTTGATTTATAATTTGTCTTCATATGTCTTTGTTTAGTGCTTTCCTCATAGTCACCGTCTGTGTTGACGCTGGTTATTTGTTGTCCTTAACGTCATGTAAATGATTACTGTGCGTGCACAAAGAAGGTTCACCTGTAACCTTTTCCATAAAAGTGGTTGATAACTGATTCACTTAAAGAGTTTCTATACACAAAGTTAAATAGTCAGAAAAGGCTGATGGTTGTGCAGCATTCAGAAATGTTGGTTATCAGGCAGTGTAATGAGACAGGACATGTTATTGTGAACCTACGCAGATAGAAAGAATGATGCCATGAAGTCTGGGTTGAGGCCTTGACCTAAGCCTAATCTTAAAAGTAGACAATGTGTCAGCCTGGATAAAAACTGGAAGTTGGTTCAACAAGAGAGGAGCCTGATAACTGAAAGATTTTTCTCCCATTCTGCTTTTGGAAACTCTAGGACCCACAAGTAAACCTGCAGTCTGAGAGTGAAGTGCTCTGTTGGGAAAATATGGAACAATAAGATCTGTAATATAAGATGGAGGTTGTTTAGAGCTTTGTAGGTTAGAAGTAAAATTTTGAATTATATTCTGAATTTCAGAGTCAGAGTCAGAGTTTCTTTATTGTCATTCGCACCTCATGTGGTACATGTGGTGGAGCAAAATTATGTACACAAGGTCCCAGTTACATCCAACAATAAAATGTATAAGAAAAACAGTAATAACATCTAAGATATGAACTAAGAAAAACATCAACTAAATATACACTAAGCACTCATAACATAAAAACATTGAACATCAGCACAAACATGAACATGAGTCTGTGAGCGGATGTGCACGCATGAACACATCAACATTGAAACAGATCAGCAGCAACATGAAACAGATCAGCAGCAACATGATATGGTTTTTCACAGTGATTATTCTAGTTAGAGATTCATGAGTCTAACAGCCTCAGGGTAGAAGCTGTTCCTCAGTCTAGTGGTTCTACACTTAATGCTCCTTAACCTCCTTCCTGAGGGGAGTGGGGCAAAAAGTGTGTGTGCTGGGTGAGTGGGGTCCTTCATGATGCAGGTGGCCCTCTTCCTGCATCTGGAGGTGTAGATGTCTGTGATGGTGGGGAGGCTGATTCCAACAGATTTCTGTGCAGCCTTCACCACTCTCTGCAAAGCTTTTCTTTCTGCAGCTGTGCAGCCTCCATGCCACACATTGATGCTCGAGCACAGGATGCTCTCCACTGCACACCTGTAGAAGGAGGTGAGGAGTGAGCTTCCCAGACCAGCTCGCCTCAGCCGTCTGAGGAAGTAGAGTCTCTGATGAGCTTTCTTGATCAGGCTGGTGGTGTTGTTGCTCCAGCTGAGGTTGTCATTCATGTGTACACCCAAGTACTTGTAGCTGGAGACCACTTCCACCGCAGATCCTCTTATGTTCAGGGGGGTGTAGGTGTTTTTGTTCCTTCTGAAGTCCACAATCATCTCCTTTGTCTTCTTCACATTGATGTGAAGGTTATTCTCTTTGCACCAACTCTCCAGGTGTTCCACCTCTTGGGTGTAGCTGGACTCATCATTGTTTGTGATGCATCCCACCACCGCTGTATCATCTGCAAACTTTACAATGTGACAGCCTGGATGGGTAGCTGCACAATCATACGTGAGCAGAGTAAACAGGAGGGGGCTCAACACACATCCCTGAGGAGAACCAGTGCTGAGGGTTATGGTTTGACAGGGATCAGTCATAATTCATTACTGGTATTTGTTATTGTTATAATTATTTATTATTATTATAATTATTTATAAGACTGAGTTTGTTGAAGTTCCTCTGATTGACAAAGTCTTTTGGATAACATATGAGAAGTTTCAACAAGTTTTTAAATATTGTTTTATTTAGATTTTTTTTTTAATCCGTCCACAGGTCCTGACTTAACTTGGTTAGATAATTTCAGTCATCTTTGTCCAATTTCAAATTGACCTTTTCTCTCCCAAGTTTTTTTAAAAAGTTGTTGCTGCTCAATTTATTCTCATTTAATTATAATCTTTACAAATATTTCCCATTTATGGTTTCACCCCATCATAGCACAGAAACTGGTCTTATAAAAATCACTAATGACCTTTTCATGGCAGCAGACTCTGGTTTACTTTCCGTTCTCATTTCTTTGATGTGATGCAATCTTTGACACCAGCTCTCACTCCATCCTTCTCATTGGACTTATCTCCAATGGCATCACTCACACTCCCCCTTTAAAATACCATCTTTCAGGCCACACTCAGTTTGTTCATCTACAAAGTACAATCATTTGCTTCCGAGCTATTCCCCATTGCCAGTGGTGTGCCCCAGGGCTCTGTCCTGAGGACCCTCCTTTTCATCACTTACTTCCTTTCCAATGGAAATATTTTCCCTAAATTGGAAATTCATTTCCATTGTTATGCAGATGACACTTAGCTCTACCTTTCCAGCAAACACATTTCCATTGTTGTAGAAAATTTGTTTAACAATGACTGAAACGTGTGAAATAAACATTCTAATCAAGAACTGTCTTTATGATTTTATTAAAAGCTTAGAAGGTGAACAGTCAAACAAGGAAAAACCATCTGAAATGAATATGTCACACCGAGTGAATGTATATCTGGATATTTATAGAAGCTACGTGTGTGCGCGTCAGTGTGTGGGAGTGTATGTGTCTGTGTGTGTGTGTGGGGGGGGGGGGGGGGGGGGGTTTGAACCAACAGACATATGTGTCAAGAAAAAGCCCGATGGCTGCAAGAAATGAAAAACAGTCTGCACTGTTCGTGTGCCTAAATAATTATTAGCAGTTTACATAAATAATGTCCAATACACCATCCTCTCGCCCTTCACCCGCTGCCTGGATGAACTCAGATCATGGTTCTCTTCAATTTTTCTCAAATTTAACTGTGATAAAAATTGAATTTCTCTCCATCAGCTATCCAATCTGCCGTGTGTCTGTGTCGTCCTCGACAGTACACTGTCATTTCACTCTCACATCAATAACTTCACCTGGTTCACATATTTTCTACT